GGATGATCCAATCTGATCAAAGCAAGAAGAAAGAATGAGAAAGAAGGAACAGAGCTCAGGAACCTGTGAAACAATATCAAATGAGCTAATATACACATAATCAGAGGCCCAGAAAGAGAGAGAATGGGACAGAAAAACTATTTGAAAAAATAATGGTCAAAAATTTCTCAAATTTGGTGAAAGACATAAATAGATTCAAGAAGCTCAGCAATCCCAAGCAGAATAAATGCAAAGAAAATAATATCTGGGCATATCATAGTCGAAATGTTGAAAATCAAAGATAAAGAGAAAATCCTGAAACAAGCAGGGGAAAATAACATATTACATACAGAGGGAAAAATAATACGAAACACTGAGAATGTCTCATTAGAAATTGGAGCCACTTTCTGAAATGACTTCTTCATAGCACTAAAAGGAAAAAAAATCTCCGTCAACTCACAATTCTATATCTATATCGTGAAAATATCCTTCAAGAATGAAAGCAAAATAAAGACACTTTTAGAAAAAAGAAAACTAAGAGAATTTGTCACTAGAAGACATATACTACAAGAAATTCTAAAGGAGACTTTTCACGCTGAAGGAAAACAAAATCACCTGGAAATTCAGATCTTCGGAAAGGAATGAAGAACATTGGAAATGGTAGATATGTGGGTGAATATAAACACTTTTTCCTCTTAATTTCTTTAAGATATATATGTCTGCTTAAAGCAAAAACTATGACACTGCATTATGGGGTTTATAATGTATGCAGATGTAATCCATAAGACAGCTATGACATAAAGCATGGGAGGATAAGTGAACTTATATTGTTACAAGATTCTTAGATTTTACTGGAAGTGGTAAAATATTAACTCTGAGTTGATGATGAAAAGTTAAGGATGTATAATGTATCCCTAAATAAACAACAACAAAAATGCCAAGAGGTATTGCTTAATAACCAACATATAATTAAAATGGAATCCTAGTAATATTAAATTTACTTGAAAGTAGGCAGAAAAGGAGGAACAGAGGAATAAGAAAATAGAATGTCAACAGAAAACAAATAGTAAAATAGTAGGTATAAATTCACCCATATTAATAATTATATTAGCTCTAAATGGACTAAACGCTTAATTAAAAGACAGAGATTGTAGAATGGATAAAAGTGTAAGGCCCACCTATTTGCTGTTTACATACTTTAAATATAAGGGCTCAGATAGGTTGAAAGTGAATGGATGAAAAAATATATGTCACCCAACTGATATGCTTAGGAAGATTGGATATCAGATGAAGTAGACTTCATTACAAAGAGTATTATCAGAGTTAAAGAGGAACATTTCCAAATAATAAAGAGTCCAGAAGACATAACAATCATAAATGTATATACAAATTATAGCAGAACCTCAAAATATGTGAAGCAAAAATTGACAGACTTGAGAGAATAAACAAATTTACAGTCATGGTTGGAGATTTTAACACTCCTCTTTCTACAACTGAGAGAACCAGACAAGAATATTGGTAAGGATAGAAAATCTGTACAACACTAACAATCACTTTGATCCTATTGACATTTTTAGAACACTACAACCATCAACTACAGAATACACATTGTCTTCAAGGGTAAATGTTTTGTTCACCAAGATAGACCAAATACCGGGCCATAAAACCAGTAAATTTAAAAGAAAAATTCACTCACAACTTACCAAGACTGAATCATGAAGTAACAGAAAATCTAAACAGACTAATAATGAGCAAAGATATTGAATCAGTAATCAAAAATCTCACAACAAATAAAAGCCCAGGACCAGATGGCTCCACAAGTGAATTCTACCAAATATTTAGAGAAAAATTAATACCAATCCTTCTCAAACTCTTCCAAAAAATTGAAGAGGAAGGAATGCTTCCAAATTCATTTTGCAAGACCAGCATTTACTGAAGCCAGACAAAGACACTGCAAGAAAAGAAAATTACAGGCCAATATACCTGATGAACATAGATGAAAATTCCTCAACAAAATATAAGCAAGCTGAATTCAATAATACATTAAAATGATCATACACCATGATCAAGTGGGATTCATCCCTGAGATGCAAGAACAGTTCAACACATGTAAGTCAATAAATGTGATACACCACATTAACAGAATGAAGGATAAAAATCATGATCATTTCAGTAGTTGTAGGAAAAGCATTTGACAAAATACATCTTTTCATGAGAAAAACTCAACAAATTAGGTAGAGAAGGAATGTTTTTCAACATAATAAAGGCCACATATGACCTACCCACAGCTAGTATTAGACTCAATGGTGAAAAGTTAAAAGGAACAAGACAAGGGTGCCCACTCTCGCAACTTCTATTCAACATAGTCCTGGAAGTCCTAGCCAGAGCAATTAGGCAAGAAAAATAAATAAGGGCATCCAAATCAGAAAGGAAGAAGTAAAATTATCTCTTTTTGCAGATGATATGATCTCTTGTAGAGAAAACCCAAAAGACTCCACCAGAAAAAAAAAACAACTAATAAATGAATTCAGGAAAGTTGCAGGATAAAAAATATACAGAAATCAGTTCCATTTCTATACACTAACAACAAACTATCTGAAATAGAAATTAAGAAATCAATCCCACTTACAATACCATCGAAAATAATAAAATACTTAGAAATAAATTTAACCAAGAAGGTTAAAAATGTGTACACTGAAAACTATAAGACATTGATGAAAGAGATTGAAGAAGACACAAATAAATGGAAAGATATCTCATGTTCTTAGATTGGAAAAATTAATATTGTGAAAATGTCCATACTACCCAAAGCAATCTAGAGCCTCAGTGCAATCCCTATCAAAATTCCAATGGCATTTTTCACAGATATGGAAAAAACTATCCTAAAATTCATATGGAACTACAAAAGACCCTGAATAGCCAATCCTAAGAAAGAGCAATGCTGGAGGCATCACACTTCCTGATTTCAAGCTGTAGTATGTAATCAAAACAGTACAGTACTGGCATAAAAACAGGCACGTAGACCAGTGGAACAGAAGAGAGAGCCCAGACATAAACCCATGTATATACTGTCAACTAATTTTGACAACGGCGCCAAGAAAACACAATGGGGGAAGGATAGTCTCTTCAATAAACAGTTTTGGGAAAAATATCCACATGCAAAAGAATGCAGCTGGACCCGTGTCTTACACCACTCACAAAATTAACTTGAAATGTATCAAAGACTTAAATGTAAGACCTGAAACCACAAAACTCCTAGAAGAAAACATAGGGAAAAAGATCCTTGACATTGGTCTTGGCAATAGTTTCTTGGATAAGACACCAAAAGCCTAGACAAAAGATAAAATAATCAAATGAGACTACATCAAACTAAAGAGCTCCTGCACAGCAAAGGAAACAATAAATTGAAAAGTCAACCTAAAGAATGGGAGAAAATATTCGCAAACCATACATCTGATGAGGGGTTAATAGCCAAAATATATCAGGAACTCATACAACTCAATAGCAAAAGATCAAATAATCCAGTTAAAAAATGGGCAAAGGACCTGAATAGACATTTTTCAAAAGAAGACATACAAATAGCCAATACATATATGAAAAGGTGCCCAACATCACTAATCATCAGGGGAATGCAAAGCAAAACCACAATGAGATATCACCTTATACCTGTTAGGATGGCTACTATCAAAAAGAAATTAAAAATATTGGGGAGGATGTGGGGAAAAGGGAACCCTTATACACCACTGGTGAGAATGTAAATTGGCACAGCCATTATGGAAAACAGTATGGTGATTCCTCAAAAAATTAAAAATTGAACTACCATATGATCCAGCAATCCCACCCCTGGGTGCATATCTGTAGGAATTGAAATCAGTATCTCAAAGAGATATCTACACATCCATGTTCATTGCAGCATTATTGACATTAGCCAAGATACAGAAACATTCTAAATGTCCTTTGACAGATGAATGAATAAAGAAAATACCATAGAAAATACCATAGTGTGTATATATATATATATATATTTATACACACACACAATAGAATATTATTCAGCCACAAAGAAGAAGCAAATCCTGTCATTTGTGACAACATGGATGAACCTTGAGGGCATTATGCTAAATGACATAAGCCAGACAGAGAATGACAAATACTGTATGGCATCACTTATATGTGAAATCTTAAAAAAAAAAATCCAATTTCATAGAAACAGAGAATAGAATGGTGGTTGCCAGGGGCTGGGGGAGAGGTAAATGGGGTAATGTAGGTCAAAGAGTTCAGATTTTCAGTTATAAGAAGAATAAGTTCTGAGGATCTAATGGACAGGATGGTGACTATAGTTAATAATATGGTATTATACACTTGAAAATTGCCATTAAACATTCTCACCACGAAAAAGTTTGAAAAAAAAAAGTTAACTACGTGAGGTGATAGATGTGTTAGTTATTTTGATCTTGGTAATCATTCTACAATGTATATGTATATCAAATCATCATGTTGCACACTTTAAATATATACAATTATATTTGTCAATTATTCCCAATTATTCCTCAATAAAAGTTTTTAAAAAGATAATATAAATAATCTTATAAAAAAAAAAAAAAAGAGCGAGAAAGAAAAAATCCAGCCACCCCTACAGGGGTCGAAGCTCCAACAATGACTGCAGCATTGCCCATACCGGCCGTGGTGAGGAGCTGCCACGACCCTATTGCACAGGGGAGAAGGAAAACCAAGCCAGTTGCTTGACAAAATCTTTTCTGCTCAGAGAATAGGGACTAATGTGGTTCAACCCTATTGCAATTATATTCTCCATATATGAACTCTAGCCCAGGAAAGGACATAGTAGGTAAGTCGTAAAGAGTTTCCCTTCCTCTTCCCTACAAGTGTATTAACAACAGAGTTTCCTAAAGGTCACTAAGCAATGACCTTCAAGGGCTTTTAAATGGAGAAGACTTTGGTCCAGGGTGATATCATCACCATCCCTGCATGATCTGCTCCTTTCAGACGAATCCACACCATACCTGAGTAGTGTTGAAAAGGCAGAATATGTAGCTGAAGATGAGCCTGATGTCATCATTTTTAGTTAGCATAAGGTATGACAGAATCCAGGTAATTCCAAAAACAACTGCAATAGATAAGGTGCTCAGAATCTTCTTTACGGACGAAACCTTTTTTGTGCTAGATGAGAAAGATCAAGAAAGAAAATACGGTTCATTCAGGTTCTTACTTATTAGTACAATTATTACCCTTCTACTGAGAATACATATTCAGCTGCCTTTACGCTGTTCATTGAACAATATTATGCCTCAGGTGGAAAAACGATGCTAGACCTATGTCACTGAATAAAATCTGATTTAGCAAGCTTTATTAAGAAATACAGTGATATCTGTTTAAAAGCTCAGGCATAAACAGTCCCTTAAGTACTACTGCAGGCAAATTTCACAAAGAATCGACTTTTTCTTTGGAATGGAATTTTATTCTAGTGATTATTACGACTGGATCAGCCAGTGGGAAATTTCTTTTTTGGGGCATCTGGGTCCTTCCCGTGCCATAGGTTGATATGAGAATGAAAAGTTATTAAATGCAGACTTATCTTCTTCCCTCTAATGCTAAGCCTATATCCCAGGGCTGGGCCATGTGACTTACTTTGACCAACGGAACATTAGCAATTGTTCCACAGAGGCTTGAATGCCTTTTGCTCATCAGAGCTTGCCTTCTCTTATTGCTCCTTGGAACCCTGAAACCACTGCATTAAGAAGCCTGAACTGCTCTAATGGAGGATTAGAGATCATAGGGAGCAGAAATGAGCTTTCCCAACCAAGAAGCTGCTACTCGAGACCAACCAACTACCAACCACCAGGCATGAAAGTGAGTCATCCTACGTTATCGATCTGCATTCAAGCCAGCCAAGACCAGAACAACCACCAGACCAACACTCAAATGTATGACAAATAATGAATATTTGTCATTCTAAGCCATTAAGTTCTGGGGTGGTTTGTTATGCAGCAAAAGCTAACTGATACATGGAAGATAATTTGTTAAACAATTAAATTATAACCTGCTCTTTATTGTAATTCAGCTAATTTAAGAACCATGAGCTATCAGCCAAAATTTAGGAATGCAAATTTGTTTAATGCTTGTGGCCAAAATGATATTGTTTTTTATAAAGGAACTATAACCTAATTTGCAATTAAGCTAAAAAGACTTCACCAAGGTTTTTCTGTGTTGCTAATAAAACATAGGTTTGAATGATTATCAGTGATAGTCTTTTCCCTCAACATGGACTATCATTCATATAGGAAAGATGATACCTACTCTTAATCAGTAAAGTACATATTTAAGATTATATTCCCAATAACTAATGACGGTTGTTTTCACCTATCTGTTCATACCAAATGGATCCACTTTGTGACCAACAAAGCTCGTAGATGTGCTTATAATAAATCTATTTGGGTTAAACAGAGTCTTGTAGAACTAAACCTGAACTCATAGCCTCCTTAGCACTGTGTTCTAACTAATCCATGCTATGGGAGATGGGGGCGGGGGGAGAGTTGTTGCTTAATAGTTTCTTTCTTTGTCTCTCCAACTGAAAGCTCTCTCTGTATATCAGGGATGACAATGAAAATGCTCATTGGGGTCAGAAAAGTTATGGAAAGGAGAGGAGCCGTCCAATTGGAACTGATGAAACAGACAGTACACGCCCCATTCACAGGGAATGTGGACTCAGAGTTGCCAGATGACCCAATTTTTTCAAGAGAATATACAATTTTTAAGTGAAATCTCCCAATTTTTATCTGTTTGCAACTAATTAAAAAAGTGTAAAGCCATCATGTGATTCAAGCAACACATATAAAATATAACCTATGGCTACTAGTTTGTAAAATGAAAATACAGTTATCAGCTTCTCCTCACAGCCCTCTCATTTCTTTAATTATTCAAATCTGGTTTCTTGAGTATTTGGGATTGGGGGAAAAATTTTTTTCCTTGAAGTGTTTGGGTTTAGTTTTTAGTTGGGCTCATATAGCACAAAAGTGTGTTATGTAATGCAGTAGACCCACAGTGTTGCTGGAAGAAAACACCCACAGCTGATGTTGGAAGAAGAGGAGAAGATCCGCTTTCTGAGATAAAGTTTAAGAGAAAATCTGTCCTGCAAACACATATCCTTGCCACTGTCCCAGAGCCTGAGCCCTCTTCTAGGACCTGTGGGTGCATTATGGTACTGTATGATGTGCTAGATGAGTCGTGCCTGGCAGCCCCCCATTCACGGGGCATCTCACCTCGTCAGATTCTGGTTATTCTTCCACAGCACTTTGACTATGATGACAATGAATATAACAACATTACTGATGAGGATAATGGTCATAGGTACAATGAGCGACCACAGCAATGGACTTGTTATCACACCATCGCTTTCTGGAACCGCTAGCCAGCAGCTATGGAGAGAAAAGATATGATTTCAGCAGACTAAGAAAGGCATACACACTAGTTCTCTATGCTGTTAACATTACTGACATTCACTCGACTGGAAGACCTACTGAAAGTCAACATCCCTTTGCATTCTATATATTTGAGATGATTTTCAAGAATTCAACCCAGTAGAAAAATGAAATGCATTGGTTCTGCCGTATTCCTCTATAAGGCAGTATGGGCTAGTGGAAAGAAAATGGTTTTTGAGTCAGGCAGTCCTGAATTTAAATGTCACTCTCTGTCACTTACTAGGTGTCTGACTTTAAGCAAGTGATTGTTTTATTTTATTTTATTCATGTGTGTGTGTGAGGAAGATCAGCCCTGAGCTAACATCCATGCCAACCCTCTTCTTTCGCTGAGGAAGACTGGCCCTGAGCTAATAACCATGCCCATCTTCTTTCTACTTTATATGGGACACCGCCACAGCATGGCCTGACAAGCGGTGCATTGATGCGCGCCCGAGATCCAACCCCAACCTGCCAGCAGCGGAGTGCACACACTTAACCGCTACGCCACAGGGCTGGCCCTGTTTTATTTTATTTTTGAATATGCAGCACATCCAGATGGCTCAAATTTTAAAAGGTACAAATCATCAGAGAGAGACAAGATCCCTCCTACAACTATCGCTAGTCATCTAGTCTCTGTTTCCAGTGATAATCATGTTTCTTGTGTATTCTTCCAGATTAGGCTACACAGACATCAGCAAGCGTAGATTTTTTTTTCTGATTTTTAAGCAAATGATAACGTAGGATACTTCTATACCTTACTTTAAAACATATCTTGGAGATCATTCCGTATCAGAATATAAAGATTGTCTTCAGTAGTTTTTACAGCTGCATATTATTCCATTATTTTCTTATACCATGAATTATTTAAACAGTCTTTTATTATTGGGCATTTTTTAAAGTTTAATGTTTAAAAAATATTTGAATAGTTATTTAACCTCATTGCATCTGTTTTGAAGGTTTTTTGTTTGCTGTTGGTGGTGGTGGGTTTGATGGTGTTTTTTCTCATCTGTGAGGCGTAGTAATCATTTCCTGGCATTGTTGTAAGAATTGATTCATTCATTTAATAAGTATTTACAGAGTACGTGCTATGTGCCAGACACTGTCCTAGATACCAAGATATTAGCAGTGAAGAACAAAACAAAAATCCCTTCTTGAGTGGATTTATTCTAGTACAAAGAAATAGATAAAACTAACAAATAAATAAAATATATACTATGTCAGATGGTGACAACTGCTGTGGAGAGAAATGAAGCAGGTAATGAGGGCAGGTATCACTGTGTGTGTGTGTGTGTGTGTGTGTCTGTGTGTGTCTGTGTGTGTTTGTATGGGGGAAGTGTTTTAGTGTTTCATTTTAAATAGAGTGGTCAGGAAAAGTCTTACGGAAAAAAGTGATATTTGAGCAAAGATGTGAAGGAGATGAAGGGGAAGAGTGTTCCAAGCAGAGGGAACAGCAAGTGCAAAGACCCTGAGTTGAGAGAATTAGTCTCTCAGCTAGGAGTCTATGGCCATAATCTGGGGGCTTGGACTGGAAGAAGAGGTGTGTGAAGAAATAGTCTGATTCCAGGTATATTTAAAAGCAAAGCAAGAGGATTTATTGATAGGTTGGATGTGAGAAGTAGGAGAATTAAGGGTGCCTCCAAAGTCTTTGGCCCAAGTACCTGGCAAGTACCTTTAACCGAGATGGGGTAGATGACGGGAAGAGCGGTTGTGACGGGGAAGACCAGGAGATGTTCTACGAGGTAACCAAGGGGAGCGGTCAGGTAGGCATTCGGGTATTAACAAAATAATGCAAGAAGCCCTGGCACATATATGGCATTCAATTAATGTGTGTTTTCTTTCCCCTGCAGGTAAAATACCGTTGTTATACATACCAAAGGATTTCTAAGTTGTTTTGCTTTGGAATGTGGTTATAATTTAAATTATCAGAAATCATATTTCTAATCTGAATGACCTAGAAGGAAACTGGGATGATGTTCAAGTCTCTGCAATGAGTTAAAAAATGAAAAGGAGTGCCTCCAACTCCTCGACAGACAGAAAAGGTCCATCCTTAGAAAAAATGGTGAGCATGAGCAAGCTTGTCTTCAGCAGTTCTGGCCTCCTTTTCCTTGCATCTGTAACCGGAGGACATCTATCGTGGAATTAAAATTTTAAAATTCATTAAAAGATATTTAATCCTAATTAAAGAGAGACAATAGTGCCTGGAGTATTTGGCTCTGAAAGTGAAGCTGGGCAGGTGGCCTCCTTCCTGCAGTGGTTGTGGTCAGCCCCAGAAGCAGGTAAGCACCTTGGTGCCACAGCCTTCCCTCGGCTACACCTGCACGTTTCCAAGAGTTTGTCTTGGTTTGAGGCGGTTTGGGACCTCAGGTGGAATGTGAGGATACGAATGGTGGGATTATAAACTGAGAAGGGAGGTAAACTACTGAGCAGCCGCAGGCGGCAGCAGACATGCATGCAGAGAGTTGAGCCCAGCTTTCTCCTCCCGCCCCATGTGAAAAGCAAACACCATTCAGTCAGGTGCTTCCATTTCCAACAGTTAATTATTTGCACTGGAGGCACAGCAAGAACTTGCCACGTGAGATAAATCATCAGGAACTGTTCATTACAACCACATTAACACAGAATTGGCTCGTAAGCGTGGATAGTGCTCTTCAAGTTGGGAAACGTTTTCACACCTGCTCAACCCCTCACAGTAACCCCAGAGCATGCATTACTTTTATTGTTCCTCCCATTTTCTAGATGAGGAGACTAAGAGCTACTAAGGGTCACACCTACTGTGTATGTGATTTTTCAGACCTAATAAAAGAAGACAGAATTAACATAAGCAAGTTGCGATTTATAAATTCAGAAGGTCGTGATTTGCTTTACAAAATGATCCATCATAGGAAATTATCATGTCACCATATGTAAAATATAATGTGCTCTTTGAGAATTTGGAAGACCCACTTATAAAATGACAATACACAGTGAGATGCATATGCATAGTGACACTCGGACTCAACACCACTGAACAGCCACTCTCATATCAAAGAAACGAACATTTTTAAAAATATAAACTCACATTTCCTCTTGCCGGTAGCGTAACTCCCATTGTGAATCATTCTTATTCTGAGAAAAAATAATTCCCACTGTCAAAGCCACCACTACAGCCGGGACTCCTATGTGATAAAGAGAGACACGGAATTAATAATTTATCCAAGACTGGGATTAATTACAAAAGAACATGAATGAATTATACACCTGACCCTTTTGAGGCTGTGTTGTTCTTTCCACTACAGACAAGGTACTAAATGGCCCTACAGATGTAGGTCAATAGTGGACATAATTTTTCTGTTTCCCTTTCCCTTTTAATGTTGGCTCTACATAACAATCCTACGCTATTTCTGATTTCTTTGTAACTCTTACCACAACTTCCATTCTTAGATGGAATGGAAGTTGCCTAAATCCTCTTTCACTTGAATACATTTAAAATTTAGATATCCCTAAAACAATCCTCCTTTGCTGGAACCCAATAAACTTTTCAAATTATTTTTCTTAAGAGTCATTGATTTTCTGGAAACATTTCTTTTGAGGTAACTAGAACGTTAATTATTTGTGGTCTAAATCTCAAATCAAATTAATAGAAATGCTAAAGGAAATTAACATCTCGAAGTTAGCTTGTGATGTACCTAGTATAGCTGCCCTAATCACATCTGCCTCCTTCCCAGGGTGTGAGACACGAGGGCAAGGCACTCTTAGTGACAGCTGGATTTTCCATCTCCCCTTCCTCCAAGCCTTCTACTATTAGGCCTTCAATAGGTGTTTGTGTAAATTGAATGATTTCAACAAAATCAAACTCCTGAGTCAGCAGAGAAGCAAACACTTACCCCATCCAATTAAAGAGATGAAAAGAATGAAACGTGGAGGAAGAGGCTTCATGGTCCTAATCAGAAGGAAGTAGAGCTGGGCGGCGCTGAGTCCAGTCCACGTGAACGTCCCCAAGAGAAAATAGTGCAGCAAGGCAGCGACCACCGTGCACGTGGGATTCGAGATGACGATAGTGTCTTGTGTGAGCATTTCATTATTATTATTGTCAATATTGGTGTCACTATTGCTTGTCTTTAAGTTCTTATTGGAGTTTTCAATTCCAAACACAAAGAGGAGGTTGAAAATCAACATTGATGTGCACAGACTGACCAACACCCAGGTTATTGAGGTTTTTCTGACTTTTCTGAAAATGAATAAGTAAATATAATTAAATAAATAAACAAAACAATGGCAGATAATAAACTCTAGTGAAATTGTGAGGGAACCAAGGAATATTATTCCCCAATGTCAATCTAGTTCATAGCCCAGTGGGCCAGCTGCTAAATCTCCCTTCCCAATTACACCAGAAAAACATACTCTCCTCTTATCCCATTTTCACAAAGAGGAGAGTTAGAGAAAACAGGTTGATGCATCCTTTCTTGAAACTGTGTCCTAATCAAAGGTGAGAGCTATTCTCCACAGATAGCCCCCAGTGAACTGTATTTATGCCTGTGTGGTCCCCTCCCAGGGCTGGCCTGAGACTTGATTGAACTAATAGATGCAGCAAAAGGCCTGGCAGCCAGGCCAACTTCTCCATCAGACACAGTCGTGCTGAGGACCCATAACAGTTTTACACTTCTATGGCCCACAACAAGACCTTTCCATGTGTAACGTGCCCAAGGACTGCTCCTTCATTTGAAGGTAAAATTTCTGGGTGTAAAACCAAGTGCTCTTTAAAGCCATTTTGTTTTTTTCTTCTTCTCTTATTTACCTAAGATCTTTACTAGAAAAGAATAGCCTTTTCTCATTTTGTCTGCAGGCTGGCATTCTTTACCAGTAGTCTTCAGAAGGCAGTGTGAGTGTGTGTGTGTGTGTGTGTGGGAGTGAGTGTGGGTGAGTGTGTGTATCTGTGGTGGTCCATGTTTGTATTTTCAGATTGGCAGAGAATGCAAGGTCACCCTTAATATAGCTGATCTCAAATATGAGGTTTGGTATTCTCTTTTCTATGCATATATTGTTTTCCTTAATATTTAAAGGCAGATATATCCTTAAATCCCCTCTAATGACATATTACAGTGCTCTGCATATTATGGTATACAGTCCTATATTAATGAAAGTTCTAAAATCTCCATTCACTACCCTCTAAACTCTTCTGGGTGTTTCAGACTACCAGACCTCTCGGAATGACGATTTCCCTAGGTTTATTACTGTGCTTAAAGTTCTAACATCTTCAAATACTTCTCTATTTTTGTTTTTTTTTTTGTGAGGAAGATCAGCCCTGACCTAACATCCATGCCAATCCTCCTCTTTTTGCTGAGGAAGACAGGCCCTAATCTAACATCTATTGCCAATCCTCCTTCTTTTTGTTCCCTTTTTCTCCCCAAAGCCACAGTAGATAGTTGTATGTCATAGCTGCACGTCCTTCTTAGTTGCTCTTTGTGGGACGCCACCTCAGCATGGCCAGACAAGCGGTGCATTGGTGCGCGCCCGGGATCTGAACCCAGGCTGCCAGTAGCGAAGCGCACACACTTAACTGCTAAGCCATGGGGCCGGCCCCTCTACTTTTTGGTTGTTTTTGGTGAGGAAGATTAGCCCTGAGCTAACGTCTGTTGCCAATCCTCCTCTTTTTGCTGAGGAA